CCCTCCCCCCCCCCCAACACCTCCCTGTCTAAGTTTTGCTACTATTTTTGTTTTTTTACCCTGGTCAGTTCCTTTTTTTGTTTTGTTTTGCTCAACAGGTTTGGCTGCTGGAGGTGGGGGCGGGAGGGTTTCTCAAAAATCAAAAAGGGGGCGTGATGCTGAAAAGTTTGTCTAGTGCATGCATAGCAGGAAAGCCAAGTCACAGTCTCCCCCTATCAGCAATGACTAGCCACCACAGAGAACAAACCAGCCTGAAGGTCCACATTTCAAATATGTGAGCTGCTCTCAGATATAAAAGCAGAACCGGGTTGGACATTTAGCCAATATGCCCAGTACCGCCCCCTAGTCTATGACACAAAGTACCACATCTCCTCTCTACCATCCTTCATAACTCTCTCACTGCAGTGTTATCGCTAGCCCCTAGCCAGGAACTGTGGCAGATTGAGTCTAACAAAGCCAACATTATTTCTGGAAATAGTTTACCAAGCTCAGTTCAGTCCTGTATTACCCTCAGTGAGAAGGTTGATCTGAGCGGCATCACCAAATTATTCCCTTCTAGGTGTCCCAGGGTGGTTGCAACACGTCTGCATTGTGCTCTGCGACCAGCGGAGAAGACAAGAGTTGGTCATTTTCATGCCCACCTGGGAAACAAGGACTTGAGTTCATTTCCCACTTCCTTATTGACACCTAGCAGTAAGTCAACTGCAAAAGGAACAGCTGCTGTTGCCAGATATCACTGTCTCAATCACTGTCTTCCCTAAGACTTCAGCATATAGGAGCTAGCCAAGGCAAATCATGGGTGGCTGACCAGAGAATCTGCTGCTGTGTTAGAATCAGCTTTAGCAGCACATTCTAGGATGTTCATAAGTCTCAAAGTTCAATGAACCATATCAAATGGAATTAACAATGTGGAAAAACTATACAGTTATTTGACCATAACTTTTTAGGTAACGTCTCTGCTGCTGTTGGTTGGGTTTTGATTGATGGCTCAGTTTTTCATTCTAGAAACAGATTCAGATTTTGATCCACTTTCAGAATGTTGCTCCTCTTTTTGTATAAGAAGGAAATAAATGTAACAGCAAATTTCTAGGCAGCTTTTAACCTCTGTCTCATTTATAGTATTTCTAAAACATCTGTCATAATATCTATGCTCCATAAAACAATTTAAAGATTCATGTCCTAAAAGGGAACAGCCTCTTCTTTACTCCCAATATGCTGTATGGGTTTTTGTTTGACTGTTTCTACATTTTGCCTTGATTTGTCCTCTTGCCAATTCCCCTCCAATTGTGAGTAAGTCTTGGAGAAACATCACTAACAGGTTGGACCACTTATCCAAGAGGGGGATGTTGCATTTGGGTTTGAATATGGTCAGGCTGTGTTGCACCTAAGTAGCAGTTCTTCAGGAAAGGACCTGGGGATTACAGTGGATGAGAAGCTGGATATGAGTCAACAGTGTGCCCTTGTAGCCAAGAAGGTTAATGGCATATTAGGGTGCATTAAGAGGAGCATTTCCAGTAGATCTAGAGAAGTAATTCCCCTTTACTTGGCTCTGGTGAGGCCACATCTGGAGTACTGTGTCCAGTTCTGGGCTCCCCACTACAAAAAGGATGTGGACACACTGGAGAGGGTCCAGCGGAGGGCAACCAAAATGATCTGGGGACTGGAGCACAGGACCTATGAGGAGAGACTGAGGGATTTGGGCTTGTTTAGTCTGCAGAAGAGAAGAGTGAGGGGGGATTTGATAGCAGCCTTCAACTTCCTGAAGGGAGTGTGGAAACCATTTCATATTTACCTAGAAGCCGTCTTGTATAACAGAAACCATTTCAGCTTTTCTCTTTAGCACGTAGGCCAGAGTGAACTTTCTATCACTCCCATGTGCCAGGCCAGACAGATGTGCTATTGGAATGTGTTAATTGGGCTGGTTAAAACAGGAGATGCACTCCATGGTACCTGTCCACCATCTTGCTGATAAGGCTTTGTTTTTCCAGGTTTAATTGATGATTTCTGTAATTGAATGCACTGACAGACTGTTTGGCTAAGGGTATAAAAATACTAGGATTGATTGTATTAGCCAGCCTAACTGGGCTCGGCTCTGCTGGGACCACGTTTGGCTCACTTTGCCTTACTGAATCAATAAAGCTGTCTGTTTAGCCGCCTAAACTGAGTGAAGCCTTTGTTTCAACAGGAGGTTCCAAAGAGGATGGAGAAAGGCTGTGCACAGTAGCGACGATGGCAGAACAAGAAGCAATGGTCTCAAGTTACAGTGGGAGAGATCTAGGTTGGATATTAGGAAAAACTATTTCACTAGGAGGGTGGTGAAGCACTGGAATGGGTTACCTAGGAAGGCGGTGGAATCTCCATCCCTGGAGGTTTTTAAGTCTCGGCTTGACACAGCCCTGGCTGGGTTGATTTAGTTGGGATTGGTCCTGCCTCGGGCAGGGGGCTGGACGTGATGACCTCCTGAGGTCTCTTCCAGCTCTATGATTGTAACATTTTTTGAGTGACTCTACACTACACTGCTCAGTCTTATGTTCTCCACCTTAGGGTAAGAACCTACAACAAAAATCATGGGAAGAGAAGGCCAACAGATGTGATTTCCTTTACATACTACATAGTACCAAGCACACTGATGGCACTCAATGAACAACAATTAAAAAAAAACCCAGCTGTGATGAAAACTGTTTTACAACCTTGACTGCAGGTTTCACTTCCAGAGTGAACATTACAATAAACTTCTTGGGATGGAGGGTGGGGGAAAGACAATGTCTACAACAATGTGGTTGCTATCGGAATACAAATAATTTTTAAAAATAAACAATATAGCAGGCCTGCTATGGTTACCCAGGAGTGCCCTACAAATTGTCGAAATCTCAAACATGAAAAGGAACTTTAGGTCTTGATCAGACCTTAGATTTTATGTATATCAAATAAATCTTTAATATAGAATAGAGGTGGCTGAGTTCCAATTGCCTGTTGAAGTCAATGACAGGAGCAGGTGCATAGCACCTCACAGAATCAGGTTGTATTGTGTACTGAAGAATAAATAACTGGTCCCAGGCGATGTATGTATTTCACAAACGAATAATACTGGGAGGTTACCTAACGAACTATAGACTTTGGCGTCCACAGGTAATCAGGATCAGTCTCCAGAAATATAAAGATACATTAGTAGTGTAGTGTAACAGTTACAGATGGAAAGGGGCTATTAAAACATTGACCTTCTGGGTCCATCATCTTCTTGAATATGAAATTGACACTATACATTGCCTGGATAAAAGGCTCAGAAAGCATGCAAAGAATATTTTACAACAACAGCTTCAGGCAGATTTTAGCTGGGTCTTTCACTAGCATATTAATTTAAAAAGCATTACTCTCCAGTTTTAGAAATAAGGTATAGGCTTGATTCGCCGTCTCATCAGTTTATTCTAGTGCAATTTTGCTAATCTCTAAGTAGTTACTTCTAATTTACACTGGTGAGCAGGAATCAAGTCTTTAGACAGATAACCAGAAATTAAAGAGAAAGTAAAGATGCCAGACCACATCAAGAAATTCAGTGATCCTGCGACAATTTAAGAACACCGAGGATGAAATTTCTCATGGTGCAAAAAACCAGCTAAGGCTTATGCACCACATAAATCTCACATAAGCCCTATTTTGATTTCTTTGGGACTATTCAGATGAGTAAATTTATACTTAAGTGTTTACAGAATTAGGCCCTTAGAAAGTAAACAAGTCCCTTCAAAACAAATACAACAAAAATTATCAAAAGATGCTGTCTAAAATGCATTTGAGGATGTAAAAATATATTTTTACAAAAATCATTTACATTTAAGATTCAGTTTTAGACTTAACAAATTATAGTGATTGTTTAAAATTGTTTTCCCAGGGTCATTTTTAAAGATCTTTTGAGTAATGCATAAACAACTTTTTATCTTCCTTAAATCTTTCTAATTCATTTTTTCCCCCCACAAAATAGTCAAACAACCTGAAGCAGATAAAATATTAACAGAAAAAACGAATCCTTTATTTAAAGAAATATTTCAGTGTGTAATCATAAAGAACACAACCCTAGATGCTACTGTACAGAAACCAAAAATCTCTCTCTCTCTCTCTCACACACACACACACACACACACCCATGCGGCTGCCCACCTGCTCTGAGAAAGCAAATGTTTTCTTCCTATATTGCTTGAGAAAAGGGCTCATCTAACACACATTCCCAATCTCTATAATTAACTTTAGCCACAATACTAAAGATGAAATAGAGCGTTGAGTATTTCTTGGCAGGCATGTCTAACTACACGCACCACCAATGTCATTTATGGTATGTAGAAAGACTTGCACAGAAGCACTGCAATATCTTTCAGGGAAGCTCTCAAAATGACACTTCATAGTATGAGCATCTTCAGTATCAAGTTCATGTATCCATTTTTGTAGGTACATTCCATAAAACAGGCTTCAGTATTATTTTTAGTGTGTTTTTATTACAGGGTTAGCAGAAAATATTAGAGAGACTATTATATGAATCCACACAACATACACAAAGCCTTACTGGGTCATACATCCAGTGCTATTTCCTTCACATTCATGCAGCTGAAAGTCCCCTATGCCACAGTCACTCAATACCAACTTTTAAACCGATTGTTTAAAATATTCAGGATTAGAACAATGGGCTTCAACAATGCTAGGCCCTAGGCCAGGGGACTGAAATGAAAGCCTGTTAATCCTTGAATGCTAGTCAGCTGTTACAACCTATGCTGTGTAAGTTTGATATGACACATACTTCAACAGGCTAACAAGAGATGCAACATACATTATATTTATGCAATGTCCAATGGCAAAAGTCCAGGGGACACTGAAGTGGTAAATGCGAGCAAAACATCATCAGAACCTACATGCTATCCATGAAAAATGATTTTTTAAAGACAATATAATGCAACACTTGCTTTCATCTACAATATACACATCCTATTAATGAAAGAACATTGAGGTTTACTTACTAAACACGTCCCCTCTTGGTTTCTGTGGTTCTATTTGTATACTGTTATCAACTGTAATTCCTTGAGGAGAGGTAGTTTCAGTGGGAACAAGGGAAGAGTCTTTAGTTGTTAATGGCGGGGTTCTTGCTGTTGGTGCAGGCTTTGGTGTTGTAGGTGGAGAAGGTGGTGGAGGCCTTGTTGCTGGCTTCAGAAGTGGTGGTTTTGTTGTCACCGGCTTTGATACAAACCTAGTAGTTGGCTTGGGCGTAGGCCAAGATGTTGGTTTTAGGGTAGGTCTTAGTGTTGGTTTGGATGTAGGCCTTGCTGTAACAATAGCTGGTATAAATGGTGGTCTCAAAGGTGGTCTTGTACCTCCGATATCAGGAATCCTATTGGTCATACCATTGCTGCCCTTTGGAAGAGTAGTATTGCCCTTGAATATACTATATGGACGAGATGGTTCAATCATAACTTTAGGAACAGCTGAAAAAAATGAGAGCGGGAGAACAAGTGGTATTTGAATATCTACAAACTGAAATGTTGTAATATTACATGACTATATCTGGTGTATTTGTTGAAATTAGTTTCTCTTCTTTGGTTTTCCACTCATAATAACCCCTCCCCCAATTTTATTATTAATACCACCACCATATTTTCACGTGCATTAATAAAGTGCCTCTAAATCATGGTACTTCGAAAAGAGGTTATGTGGTTAAAATGATTAAGGGCAACCACTACCAAAACAGGGAGCCTATACTCAACCCCTTGCAGTGCCAGAGGTGATAACTTTACAAGGCAGAAGTGTCAAACCTAGCCAAGAGGGGCAGTTAGTGAAAAGCCTCCTCAGAAAGACACGTCTTATGTTGAGCTCTAAAAGTGACCAGGCTTGAACAGTCTCATAAGCAATCTGTCCAACTAGGAAGGAGCAAATTCCTACGGCTAGTTATGGCAACTGAGTGCTCTGCCTCTGCAAATACCTCTCTTTGGATGATAGCTCAAGTATTCCACAATTGAAGGTATGGGGTCATGACTGACAGAGAGAGTCTTCAAGATCATTTCAATGCTAAAATGTACCCTTCGCCATTCTGTCCCGCTCAAAAAGTGGGGCAAACACATTCTCTACTAGACTCCAAGAAGCTGTCAAAGATAGTCATATGTTGTAATTGACTGGGACCTATTTTACACACATAGTTACATTGGCATAACTAAACTATAGTGTTTAACGGTTTTAAGAAAGCTAGTATAAAACCTAGGTAGACACATCCAACTGATTTTCATTTAGTTTATATTGGTGTAATTCACATTAGTAGATTCAGAGGTGTAAGCTAAATCAAAGTAAAAATGTCAACACAGGACTTTTCTCTGAATTGACTACATTTGGGGATTTTTAAAAAATAATGTTTAAGTGGTATATGTAGAAGAGGTTTAGATGTGAGCTGAAACAGAACCAAGTCCACATCTAAGAACAAAGGATTCAATCTCTTGCCCAGCCCCAAAACGTGTTTCTGTTCAGTTTTGCTACCTTGGAGACTTGGAATAGAGAAGTCTAAGAACTCAAGATTGTAAACCACTTTGATGCTGGACACCTTCATCTGGAGGAATAATTAAAGGCCTAGCCAGTTCTTCAAAATCTTTCCTCCTGCCAATTAGCATCCACTCTGTTTTATGCAGATTGAACCTAAACCAAGGCACTTTCATCCAGCACCCCCACCTCTGCCAAACACTTGGAGAAGCATGATGATTATGTCATTTTGGCCCCCTAAAAAAGGAGCCTTACAGACATCTAGTCTTACTGTTATGTAGAGTGCCAGCTACTTAATAATGGTACAATTGTCTCAAAAGACCATTGTTTCAAAAGAATTCTGCCCATTGGTGTCTGGTCTCAGTAGAGTCAAACCCCACCCTTGATTATCTAGAGTACTTTAAGCTGTTAAAAAATGTAGCCATATCAGTAAGGATATCAACTGCCCTGAGAAGCCAGGTCTCTAGTGAATCTTAATTTATTTTAGCAGATCTTTCAAAGCCTTACATGTTTGCCACTTGACAGTAATGAGATTGTGTCAATACGCACACTGCAAATCTTTCCTTTCTTGAGCACTAGTTTTGCAATCTGAAAGTATGTTCATTTGTTAGTCACCAGTTTTATGCCTGATTTCACATAAAGAAACAGCAAATTGCTAGAAATAGCTCTATCCATTAATAAACTCCCCCAAATACTAAAAGGCTAAAATCCTAAAATAACTGTTTAAAATCCAGTAGCGTGCAGCCAACAGTGATAATCTAGGCACCAGTTCAATTAAGCACTTAAGCTTTGGAGTCTGGCTGAACTATGAGACTGGCACAGGACTCAGAATGCACACAACAGACAGACAAAAGAGTATGATCAGGCATTACCTCAGTTACTATGCACTCGTATTTGCTCAGAACAAGAACAATTAGAGCCATATATAGAATGAAGCTGTGAATGGGATTCACTGCATTTCTGATAACGAACAGTTTTCAAGGAATGATATTTTTATCCAGGCATGTTAAGACTCATAAAACTTTGAATACACTATCTGATCCTTTATTATATTTTAAAAATGGCTGAATGAAACTAAACCTGATACCACTGCATCTCAAAATTCATTACCATCTTTCTCAGCCTTCCTAATAAATGGCTTTGGTGTTTGACAGTTAGTTTTGGAGTTCATGACATCCCGCCAGCCCCAAAAGGGAAAAAAAAGTATAGTACATACGCAGGCAGTTTATTCCATCACCTCTGTATCCTTCTTTACATTTACACTTGTAGGTTCCCTGCGTATTGTAACAACGCGAAAAGCTGCCACACTGATACTGGCCAATTGAGCATTCATCTATATCTGTAACAGAATATCACATAAGTCATTCACATGGTAGAACAAATGTCTGCCCTCCAATAAACATGTCATCATTTTAAAATATTCTTAATTTTAAAAATTCAACAACATTGTATTACCAGAATTTTATCATAAATCATAAACTGTTTCATAGATTTTAAGGTAAGAAGAGCTACGATCATCTAATGATCTATATAACAGAGATGGACAAGTTGGCATCACAATATTTAATATGTTGCTGTGGCAATAGAGTTTCTAGAACAACTTCTATAACCACTTTTTAAAGGTGACATAATAAGGGAGGAAAACATTGAGCTAGTACTTTATGAGCCCCTGACCAACAAAGCATTTAATCCTCCTCTACGTCTGTTTTAAACACTATTGTACCAGGTGGAAACTGTTAATATTTTACATTATGTCCCTCTAGTAGTGCCACAAACAAGGTCACCAAACCTGCATGTGCGCTGTGCAGTGAATCCCCATTCAAGTAACTGGAATTGCTACATGTGAAACACAACACAACTTAATCTCCAACATCACTTAATATGGCTTTAAGTGATATTAATATTAATATCACATTAATATTAATATGATCATCACCAGCTGAAGCATTGAGAAAAATGAGTGAAGTTCAATAAGGCCCCAGACTGCCTACAAGACATCCCAGTGAAATCTACAGGAGTCATTTCTAGGATTATGGCTTAATTGTATTTTTTTTCCTATTTCCATGGCAACCTGAAGCAAAATGCAGGACAATGTAGCACTTTAAAGACTAACAAGATGGTTTATTAGATGATGAGCTTTCGTGGGCCAGACCCACTTTCTGGCCCACGAAAGCTCATCATCTAATAAACCATCTTGTTAGTCTTTAAAGTGCTACATTGTCCTGCATTTTGCTTCAGCTACCCAGACTAACACGGCTACATCTCTATCACTATTCTACATGGCAACCTGTAATTCTATTTTGTAACACTACAAAAAATTAATATAGGATAAACTTAAAGCAATCTGTTTCAGTCTCAACCCATATCAAGGTGATTATAACAATCTCTGTACACTTTGGATCAGGATTAAAGGAAACATAAGTGTAATGTATGCAAGACTCTGAAATAAGTGGATTTTATTACCGTGGCATTGGTATTTGCCTCCAATATATATCAGGTCAAAGCCTTTATGACACTTGCAGATGTAGCTTCCAAAAGTATTAACACATTTCCTGAATCTGGGACAGACAATTCTCCCAGTAGCACATTCATCAACATCTGTAAACACAAAATAATTTTGTTTTTAATAATACAGTATAGCTAAGATGCTATCTACCTCAAATTGATTTCAGCTCTGAAAACTGAATCTGCAATCTGAATGTTCAAAAATCTTTTTAAAAGAAGCTTCCTTTTTGCCCTAGGCTGGTAGCCTTATAGCACTGCTTGGGTGCTATCACGTGGAAGACCTAGATTCAGTTTTTGGATGTGTTCCTTCCTCCCCCCTCCTCCATGTCTTGTGCCAATATAGAAGGCACAGGATGACACACACACACACACATGCACAGTGTTCAGATTGGTGTGAGTTAAGTTTCACTTTACAGTAACTATTCTGATTGATTTATATCAGCTGTCTCAATGTTGCAGAGATAATCCCATAAATGCTGACAGATTTGAAGGGTACACTGAGCAGTTTTCCTTGCACACAAAAATGGTTACACAACTACTAGGCCATCAAGGATGATCATTTCAAGCAGAAACAAGCTGCACCAAAGATTGAAAGATGTACTTAATTTCCCAGCCATTGGAAGCCTTTAATTAGCAGACTTTAAATTATAAATAATGCATTGCAGTGCAGGTAAGCAGATTAAATAATAAACATATTTTGGAACACAGTCCTCCTTGAACAGATTTTTGTATTTATTCTATACAAGCAGAGTCAACTGTTAGAGATGCATGGCTGTATACGTATTTGTATTACCACTTACGTCAAGGAGCTTCCTTCAGTGACTTCTTGAGATCCTGCTTGCAACAAATGAGAGCTTTATACTGTTAGGGGTTCTGGGAATCTTCCCTCTCCAAGGCAATGGTTTTCAAACCATTTTTCCCTCCTGATTAAGTTGAAGAAAATTGTTGATGCCCACGACCCAACATAACTTGAGTGTGGGCTGAGAGGTGGGTCTAAGGAGGAAAGCTTTGGGATGTCAGGAAGGCTCCAGCTTTGGGAGTGTCAGGATTGTGGCAGGAGGTGATTACCTTGAGCGACCCACAGTCAATGATGTACCTGGGGTGATAAGGCAGCTTCCTGCCTCTCCTGGCACTGCAGACCATGCTGCACCTAAAAGCAGCCAGCAGCAATTTCCTAGCCAATGGGAATGTGGAGTTAATGGTCAGGGCAGGGGTAGTGCATGGAGTCCTATGCACTCTCCCTGCCTCTACCAAGGAGCCGGGCCTGTTGCTGGTCGCTTCTGGGGCACAGTGCAGTTTGTGGTGCCAGCACGAGCAGATAGCCTGCCTTAGCACCTCCACTGGTCACCTGATCACCCTACAGCTATGAGACCCAGTGCCAGACATTCCACGACCTGTAGTTTGAAAACCACTGCCCTAAGGAACACACAATCCTTGCTTCTATCTCTGGAAGGGCCCAAAATATTGGTCCTTAAGCCCATGAAATATTTATGTATAGAAATGCAGCTTCAAGTCATTTACAAAGGTTTTACTGCTCCCTCAAAGCCCTGCACAGTTGTAACTATGGCACCTAATTTTACAGGTAAGAGGGATATAGAAAAAGAGAGTCCCAATATTTTTATATTCTCTAAAGTTTGCTGAAAATATTGTTTCTGAAACATGCTATATGCACAGACTACACAACTGGCACTGATTTGAGAATATCAGTGTGGGAATCCAAACTCGCCAGTACCATCTTTACACTTAGGCTGCGTCTAGACTGGCAAGTTTTTCCGCAAAAGCAAATGCTTTTGCGGAAAAACTTGCCAGCTGTCTACACTGGCTGCTTAAATTTCTGCAAGAACACTGCTGATCTCATGTAAGATTGTCAGTGTTCTTGCGGAAATACTATGCTGCTCCCATTCGGGCAAAAGCCTTCTTGCGCAAATGCTTTTGTGCAAGAGGGCCAGTGTAGACAGCTGAGATCCGTTTTGCGCAAAAAAAGCCCCGATGGCGAAAATGGCCATCTAGATTTTGTGGAAAAGCGTCCGTGCCAATCTAGATGCTCTTTTCCTCAAATGCTTTTAAGGGAATGATTTTTAAAGCATTTGCGGAAAATCATGCCGTTCTAGACGCAGCCTTACAGTTTATACCCTATCTGTATGAAAATTCATTGAAACTGTGTTACAGTTCAAGAAGAAAATATTCTGAGGAAAGCAGTGTAAATCAGTGACTAATAACTTACCTATACAGGTTCTGCCATCAGGCCCTAGCTGCAAACCTGGAGAAGGACAGCGGCAGCGTACTTCTCCTTTTACTACATCACAGCCATACTGACAGTTTGCCATTGAACAAGAAAGAGCATCTAGGGAGAAACAGTTACGCATGTGGATCAAATATAAGGACTCAGCATCAGACAGGTAAGTTGTTGAAATCTTTGGAGCATGAAGCGCCATTCCATCAAAGTCAGCAGAAATATTCTTGTTGACTATAAAGAGCATTGGGTCAGGCCCTTCAAAAATAAATCTATATGCTGTAAATTTGTGCTCATCATTTCACAAGGAGACATTAAGTCACAGAGCACAGATTTTAGCTCGCTGTCTTGTGGCACACAATTCCCATGTTGAAAATGAACCTCAATGTACGCTAAAGACCCTTCATGGATCAACCTATTTACAAATGCAATTCCTGACTGCAGATACACCTCTTTAACATCTTTTAATTAATGTTATTCTCTTTCTTTTCCTCCTCACTATTCATATACTCAAAATACCTACTTTTTTATGTGAGTGAAGAGGAACTTGATTTCTAGTTGTAGACTGTGGATCCAGCAACCATTTGTTGCTTTAACAATTTTACATTTATGTGGGCCTAATGAATCAGGATTGCATACCTTGACACTGACAGCACAGCAAGTGCCTATCCCCATAGGCAGAACAACAGTGATTTACTCAGCCAAAGAACAAATTAAGAAAATGAGTAATAAAATCAAAATTATTTTGTTTTTGTGCTCAGCCTAGTTTTATCAGGTTGAATGATGCACAGTTTTCAGAATGAAAACAGTTTTTTCTCTGGGGACTCATTCTTTTCAGTAGATATTTACTGAGCACCCTCAAAGAATTAAAAAAAAAAAAAGACTGACTTTGGGGAAAAAAAGCTAAGGAGTCATAACATACTAGAACACGATCCATCCGGCATAAGCATGTACCCATTCAGACAATAGCATTTGTAGCTTCCATAGGTATTCATGCATCGGTGTTTGCATGGCCGAGGCTTTAATCCACACTCATTTAGATCTGAAATTAATAGAGAGAGAAGAGAACAAGCCAACAAACAGATTATACATAAAAATGCATTTGAAGTTGTTCTAGTACTTTAAAAGTTACAAAAAGGTTGGGTGGGGATAGGGATAAGTTTTTCATATCTAGCCCAGCTCACTTGTGATTAGATGGGGCTACCATTCAGTCCCCCATGTGAAATAAATTTTGTTCAGTCCTTTTACCAATTAGATCACTCCACTTTTTGTCCACATAATAAATTCTGCTCTCAGAAATGGCATTATTAGCATTAATTGGCAGTAACAGGAATTTCACCAGAGATGATATTGACCAAATGCATATAGAATTACCATCTGATTTCTAGGAGTAGTCCCTTTAGATTATGACTGAGGATTGTTAGTGGCTAGGGGCAGGATGGGAAAGCTGGCATGGCCAACGTTGTACCAATCTGGGGGAGAAATTTAGTGCTTCATTATCTAAACCTGTCAATCCAATATGTTTTTTGAGTACAGGCAATCCCCAGGTTACGTACAAGATAGGGACTGTAGGTTTGTTCTTAAGTTGAATCTGTATGTAAGTCGGAACTGGCGTCAGCCGCTGCTGAAACTGGCAGGATGGGAAAGCTGGCATGGCCAACGTTGTACCAATCTGGGGGAGAAATTTAGTGCTTCATTATCTAAACCTGTCAATCCAATATGTTTTTTGAGTACAGGCAATCCCCAGGTTACGTACAAGATAGGGACTGTAGGTTTGTTCTTAAGTTGAATCTGTATGTAAGTCGGAACTGGCGTCAGCCGCTGCTGAAACTGATCAGTTTCAACCGCG